GCTGTTTAGTCACTGTATGTCATGCTATAAAAGATACGAAAGTTTTCGAAGTTGTTGTGACCGCCAAACAAGTTCAAAAACCCATCAAAGCAATAGTCATGTGTCGTTATGGAACGACTGTTATTTACTGTAAGAGATGTTCCAGGTCCACATTAGAATGTTGAAATACGAAAATATGAAATGAGATAAATAACTAACATTTGTCATTCTTATCGTCCTTTTCGTTTCCATTTTCTACTTTTAAAGGTGTGAAAATATATGTAGCTTTTGGTTTTTGTAACACAACCAAACGAATTATTTATGTATAACAACACATCATTCCCGAAATATGTCTATGTCCAAAAGTCTAAAAGACTGTCTGAAAGTGTAGAAGTCTGAAAGGCTGTATATCTCAAAGTCCAAAAGACTGTATGTCGTATATCTGAAACCCTTAATGTTTAGAAGTCTAAAAGTCTGAAAGAGTGTATGTCTGTCGAAGAGAAGCTGTGGCGTACTTTCATCTTTGACTCGTACTTGCAGTAAAAATATTTGTTAAAAGCCACATGATCGATCATATTATCGGTTTAGATGATTCCCAGAGAAACAGAACATGCAGACTTCCATAGGTCATCTTATACAGCCTGACTATTACTAAAATAAATTTTCACACAAGAGAAATAGCATATGACTTATTTTGTCACCTCGTTTTATTCAAAGAAAAGCCACCACATAAATATGAATAAGCAGATAGAGGTGTCTGAGAGTCCCGAAGGTGCCATTAAACTTTTTTTACAAACTACAAAGGTTTCCGGCATCGTAAAATGACAGATTGGATCACCGGGTTGTTTATTCAACACATTGAATGCTATACCATTCTTGTCAAAACCAGTCGTTCCATAACGACACATGACTATTGCTTTGATGGGTTTTTGAACTTGTTTGGCGGTCACAACAACTTCGAAAACTTTCGTATCTTTTATAGCATGACATACAGTGACTAAACAGCCATCGTCTGATACGAATTTATGACAGACAACCGGGGTTCCGTCACAGCCAGCGAGATGATTCGATTGAACTATTGTAATGTTGAATAATGATGGAAATGGTAACCGATACATTTTGTCGTCTGGTGTCCATTCTTCGATGCTTTGAGTTTGCAGAACATCCATGGCTCACTAAAATGCCATAAAAATGGCGTTTGTTGTAAAAACAAGGAATGATAAGAAAAAAGAGAAAAACTAAGTAGAATTTTTAAAGCCGATTTTTGTGTTTCTGATTAGCTTAAATAACTTGCTAAAATATATTCTTCACACTGACCAGAGTTTGACAAGATTGCTTAAAGCAATCTTTTATAAATCCTACATTCGCCTTAAGGTCAATCTAAGATTGGCCTCAGTACACTCGTCAGAGATCTCCAGAGCCTCAATATCTCACATTTGATCGATCGACCACGGCAACAATCCGATAAGTGGCGAGATGATGTTCATTGAATCATTAGTCACCCATGTACTAAAAATCACATAAAAATCGGCAATTAATGATGAAAAGTCATACGATTAATCGAACGCTTAATCACGATTGATTGCCGATTTTTTGGTGATTTTCATGTGATTTCAGTGGTTAATCGCGATTAGTTGACGATATTTTTCTAGGTATTAGGTTCGAACCCATCTTAGGAAACACATATTTTTTTCTGATTTATCATTCTTTATTATGTATAATGACACGTGCATCACCCAGCAACGGTCTTAGCATCAGCTGAAGTCGGAGCCTTTGCGACGAGTCGATTTTAGACATTGCTCAGATACCAGCTGTTCACTGAGCTCCTCGGCTTAAAACTCTAAGGCACCATATACAAGATTCTTGTATACTCCGTTTTACTCTAAAATAAAAAATGATCTCAATAAAAGTGTATTTCTCGTTGAAATCGTGTTTCTTATATACATACTTTACTGCAATATAAAACGGTGAATAACAATAACTATTTAATCGCTTAAAATCAACAATTAATCGCAATTAATTAGCGATTTTTCAAGAATCGCGATTAATTGTTAAAAATGCCGCGATTTCGTCGACGTGGGTAATTCTATGATGAAAAGGAAAAGAATTTTATCAACTTGTTTTCGAAAGAATCGATGAGTAACGACGCTAAGGGGAAGAGATGAGAACTAAAGTAGTTGAACTGATTCAGTAATAAGATGTTAGACATGACTGTGTTCATACTCTCCGAAAGGACATTCATGCTACTCAACAAGAGATGAATGAGATCCAAAATAATGAACATTTGTAAGTCATTATTCGGCCATTGTCAATCAACGACTTACAACATATGATAAGTTTAGCGGCAGCAGTTACATCAGTCATCGTTCTAGCTCAAGCGCGATCTGACAGTACTGTCAACTCCATTCAAAACGGTTAAGATTAGAAGTAATGGTTTACTGGTAGATGTCATTTATTACTCAAAGGTGAGGGAAATATGAGTTTGCTCGATCGGAAACTGAATGCCGTGAAAGAGACACCGTGAATTCACGGATCCATTAGTAACCTTTGTTGGTCGTTGTCGCTTGAACGATTATCATTCTCTTTTTGAATGGCATGCTCACTGTCGACGAGATCGAAATGACAATCAATAGAATGGAAGGTTTGGAAAATAAATGACCCTGTCTTTGTGCATGTTTCGAATCGAGATTGTATCTGACGAATCATGAATCTATCATAAAGAGACATTAATGTCCTCACTACAGTTTGTGAAATGATGGACGCCAAATACGGTGAAGGATGAAACCTGTTGGATGGCGACCGCTGATAATAGTCTTACTCTTATAGTATGGCAAGAGGAATCATTCGTAATTCGACCTGTGGCAAGTGACATCGACAAAGCAGTCTATGGTCATTCAACATTGGAAAACCTCAATTCATCGTGCTCGTCACTTGCTCACAACCAGAGATGCGCACCGCCGCTAAAGGTGGAGAAAAAATTGTTACGACTTCCGCCGCCGCCATGCCGTTAAACTTTTGTCGTCGCCGAAGGCGGAGAAAATTTTTTCCGAAAATTCTGATTATTTTTGTTAGCACGTTTTTCGCCTTATGCATCTAGCGTGCGGCGTGTTTCTATCTTTCGTATACGGCAACGTACAGATACACTTGGTGCGCGAAGAATGTGCCAGAAATGAAAGAGAACGTTGTTTTACTTAAAATATCAGATTCGCCGCTGATAACCAATTTCTAGACGACGCCGCTGAAGGCGGAGGAAATTTTCATAGCCTGGCGCCGCCGCCTACGGTAAAAATTTCATTGGCCGCCGCCGAAATTTCTTTATCGGCGCACATGTCTGCTCACAACGGCTCTCTGGTGACTGATTGGAGTAACTCACAATTTGCTCAAATCATGTCTGATGGCAAACTCAAACGTTCGATTTATTACACGCCTAGATCAATGAATACGATTCAATTCGGCACAGACATGATAGCCGTTCTAGCGGACCACGACTTTTTGAATATTCACAGACTGTTCTCATTTGGTTGATAAATTGAACAATGACTTTCTCGGTCAATCCGCTCGTTTAAAAGTGCTGTTCAAGTGTGTTCATTGGTAAGAAAAAAAATTTTCGCTTTGTGACCAAAAGTAATGAAAAAAAGTTTAAAAACTTCACATAGCCATCCTATCTCTCACTTTTGTTCGTCTCTATGGTTACTCTACTGCATTACTGAGTCAAGAATAATTAGACGATGAATTTTGCATATGCAGAATATTTTTGACTACTTATGTCTACTACTATGAAGATCGTTCATATCCGCTTTTGGTCTAATTCTTGTTTTCGTGTAACTAAGAAATAATTCTTTCACATTTTTATTGTATTTTTTGCGTATCGAACGCACAAAGGATTGACAGGAATGGCGTTCCAGTCTGACTCACCACTTGTCTGATGCATGAATTTAATCCAAAAAATTTATTATTTTATATGATTTTTTAATCAATTCGTCAGATTATTTGTATAAAAAATGGCTACCTTGGGCACTGGTGTTATTATCCTCTTAGTCTTTTGGATAATAGCTATTATTTCTTTAGCTTTATTCACCTTTGTTCAATCGCCAATAAAATATGTTGGACTAATAATGGTAGTAATTGCAGCTATTCTAACATTAGTTCTTGGTTTATTACCACGAGGAGATGCTGAATCGACCATCAGAACAGTTCCTTATAATTCTGTTGCACTCTATCGAATACTTATTTTGACCTTTTTATGTGTGACATTTGTTGTAGGACTTGTTTTAATATTTATTTTCGAAGTTATGCAACCAGTTTACGCTCAACCAATACAAAAGCGTTATGTGAACTAATTTTAATGAAACGTTTTGTCCGTCCATTTTCCTATTGTTTTTTTTTATAAATAAAATGACTAAAAGAATATTTTTGGTATTATTTTTTTATCATATATTGCTTCTAGCCACTCGCACTGCTATTTAAAGTAACAAAAGAAGTTATACGTTGATAGAAAGAAAATACCTGTATCTGGTGAAGAATGCTATGTCCACTTCACGTTCCTTTTTAACTGGTAGTAGAAGCGTTGTTCCTTTCGAGCATGAGCAGGTATTTTATACCTGGCAAGATAGAAACATTGATATACAAATATTACAATAAGTTTATCTATTATTCTAGATTATATTTTCAACCAAAGAAACGAGTCATGTCTCGTGGAAGAGATGATCGTGATTCTGGAAGTTCGGTACGCTATTTGGATTATTAGTTTTTGATTCATCATTTTTGTTTGCTTTTTCTAGTTGTTTATTGGTGATTTAAGTCGTGATGCTAGTAAAGAAGAAATTGAAAAAGCATTTACTTATTATGGAAAATTGAGAAATGTTTGGTAAGTAACCGTCATCAGTCTGACCATTCAGGAATATTATAAATGCGTATTTTTCTTTTATTTTACAGGCTATCAAGATCTCCATGGGGCTACGGTGAATATTTAATTTAATATTTTTGATCAGCTTTAATCATTTAGACATTTGTTTACTTCACTTTAGGTTTTATTGATTTCGAAGATCAAAGAGATGCTGGTGATGCAGTTAAAGCGCTTGATGGAAAGTAAGTAATTTTATTCTCTAATCATTATAGAAACAAATTATAGATGAGATGAAAATATCATTAAGCTTTCATTATATGACTGCTATTGTACTTCATACCGTCTGAGTATGATATAACGAAAGTTTGCTTGTTAAGTTATGCAATTATACAGCCTATAAGTCAATTTTATTTTAGAATGTTATGTGGATCACGTGTGAGAGTTGAATTCTCACATGGCCGTGGACGAGCGAGAGGACGTCCGGGTCGTTCAGGTAGTCGATCACCACGTGTACGAAAACCGTTTAGTCCAAATGATGTTTGTTATGAATGTGGAGGTAAGTAACTCGTAATCTTCCCAGAAAACACGGTGCTAATAATAATGTTTCTATTTCTTTTTATTATTCATTATATTTGAAGATCGCGGACATTATGCTTATGATTGTGAAATAAGATTAAAACGTCAACGACGAATGCGGTATGTACACATGTTTATTTTCCTAATTATTAAACTCTTAGTTTTTTAATCTTTGTTTCGTTTTATCTTTGCTTTTTTATGTAAATTTACTTCATTCTTCTAAAATTTTTTTGTTATTATTGACTTTCGGGTTCGTGATTTGAATCTGTGTTGTCCTACATTTTAGTTCACAGACTCCTAGACAGTGCGTGCGAAACGAAACGAACGAGTAAAATCATACAGCAGCGTTTGATACGTACTTCATCTATGTTTTCGAGTTAGGATCATTGAAAAATCAGAAAGGAAAATCTCCCCAAAAAGATCGTGTGTCTACGATGTGATGGGCGATCACACTGAACATCAATCGTCCTGTTGTTGGTTTTTCACAATTCGTACTCACAGACACGCACATGCGATTTATGTAAAATAAGAAAGAATTTTTCGATCATTGATTTAAGGTGTGTATAAAAAAAAAGAAAATTATCAAAACAAAACACAATTTATATATGCATATATTTACTAATGAATTTATTGGTTAATAACATCGATCATAAAAAGGAAATTTTAGTTTAGATCCGTTAGAAGAAAATAAAAACGTTATGAATTCAGATTTAAACTTGAATAAATCAGATATTCTGTGTTCGTTTATTCCTCATTTTTCATGTTATACATTGATCAGATTAGGGACGATCGTTTGTTTCGAACAATAACATCCGCAGACGACTAGTCTCTTCTCGAAAAGTAACAATTTTGTAATGATTATGTGACTATGAAGTAAAATTCCCTGTTTCCTTATTTACAATTAGACGATTCGAAATCTATTGATGTTTTAAAGCAATGATAAAAATCCATTTTGATTCAGAAATACTTGTGTTACCGAAAGAAAGTTTTTTCGAAGTGAGCAAGAAATTTATTACATTTTAAAAATTAGAAGTTGGCATCTATGGGTTCGAGAAAAAATGTATTGAGATAGGTTTGGTAAAGTGATCAAAATAAAAGTTTGAGAAAGAGACGAGCAAACTGGTTTTCCAAAAACATACATACTATAGAGGAGACTCTCACTATATGACCGGTTTTCGGGAATTTTTTTATTTATTTTATTTGTAAATTCGTATATTTTCTTGAAATAACACATTGTAATTCAACTTTTGTACTTAGATCTCTCTTTTCTAACAGAATACATTCGCTCTTTTTTAAATCAAAGTTGTAAATGTATCTTTAATTTTAGTTCTGGTTCAAGAAGCCCTAGTCGTTCGCATCGTAGTCGTAGCGGTGGTAAAAAACATCAACGTGGAAGGTACATAAGAAATACTTACACTTTAACGAGTTGACAAAAAAAAGTTCATTGGATAAGATAAATTATGTATTTTGTAGTAGTAATCAATCCTTGTTCTCGTACTTTTTAGACGACGTTCCCGCTCATCAAGTCGTTCACGATCTCGAGGACCATCCTATAGTCCATCTCGTTCTCGTTCTCGAAGTCATTCAAGACAAAAAAATGGCAAACGTTCACGATCTCGCAGCAGGTAAAGTTAGACGAATGCTCTTTTCCGGAATCTGACACTAATTGTTATTTTCTTTGTTTTAGATGAGCACAGCACATATTTATAATGAGATTATTCTAACTCATCTACGCAGACTAATTTAACAAAAAATTGTGTTTTTGTTGTCTTTTGTGTCCTAAAAGTGCTTTTGCGTTTCTCCTTTTTTTTTATTACTCAACATATCTAAACAACATCTGTGTCAGAAATGAAATTAGGTGTTTGCTCGCGTCTAGCTTACAATACCTCATATTTTGATTATTTTGTAAATTTTTTGTTTTGTCTATTGATATTTACTCAAGATGTATTTCTCAGTAGTTTTTTTATGTAATGCTGCTGTTGCTGCTGCTGCTACTGCTGTTTTTTTTCTCGTAACCTTTTTTGTCATCAGATAGATGCGTGTATGTATTATACTGTATATACATACGCCGTATGTTTAAAACAGCGATTTTTTGTTGTATTTGTAATGTATTTTGCTAAAAAAATGTGCTTACGAGCTAACAGCAGAATGAAATAAAGTTGAAAATGGAATGAGTAAAGTTTAATTATAGGTCGATGATTTTCTTGTATACTTTATGACAGTTCTAGATAGTTTAAGAATGAAATTGATGTCATACTTTTTTGTACCTTTTTTAAGGTTGAGTCAGAAATTTATATTGCATGGCAAAATTAGAATGGTGATATCATGTTTACTTTAAGTGTTAATGCATGCTAAATAAAAAATAGTTGATTTCGTTTTAAAGGTTGATTGTCAACGAATAGTTAAAGTTTTAGACCTACTAAATGTTTTGCTGAGGGATACTGTATTAGAAGATGAAATCAAACGTGTATTCAGCCGTTGTAGGCAAATAAATGTTTGTTTATTACAATAATCATGGAAAGAGATATAGCATAGGCATTGCAAGGGTTACATGAACGGTTACTTGGACGCATCTAAGTAGAATTTTCACATGCAAAAAGGATAAATTGACGCACATCAACAGATTTGAAACGACCATTCAATTCATATGATCAATGTAATGAACGTGGAGATTGTTTTCCATTGATATGAAGAGATTATATTCGTCTTTAGATCGGAGTACCACATCTTAGAAAAGTAAGACAATCACGACAATAAGCCCCTGAAACGAGTATTACGTTGGATATTAATTATAAAACTTAAATAAAATATAATTAGAAGGTATAACGGTAGGAATAATAAAGTAAAATAATTTGTATAAGACCGCAATAAAATACATATTAAGAATTTTAACCAAATTCATTAATTTTATTTGTCGATTTCGAGCTTTCGGTACTGGCTCGTACCATTGTTAAGAAACAATTTACATTCTCTGTATATCACAAAATGTGACTCTTTTGCTATTTGACATATCGGAAGAACAGAAAAAGATAGAAATTAGCTTACAGGCTAATTTCTATCTTTTTCATTTTGGGATATACAGAGAATGTAAATTGTTTTGTTGTCATTTGTTTCTTGACAATGGTACGAGTCAGTACCGAAAGCTCGAAATCCACAAATAAAATTATTGAATTTGGTTAAAATTCTTAATACGTATTTTGTTACAATACAATTCATTTTACTTTATTATTCCTACCGCTATACCTTCTAATTATTTTAACTCACTTCGTTCATTGTATGGCGAAGTTCTTTCTCTACAACCAGACAGACAGAACGTTTAACACTCAAATTACAAAAGACAAAATGTGATCTTGAATACTTCCGTTTATGTTTGATCTACGGATTTACACAACATTTATCAAGATTAAGTTATGGAAAAAACGAATGAAAAACCATCAGCAGTACGAACTCTTCAAGCATTACTGTTTGCAACAAGAATATGCATCCAGATTTAAAGAGACATGAGGAAAAAATTAATGTTTTAATGAACCATATACAATTGAAATTAACTGCATCCGATTATGAAAAAATTACAGTTACATTTCTTAGAGAAATACAAATTGTTACGAAATAACACAGTTACTAGTCACACTAAGAAACTAGAACGTCTTAATCGAGGACCATTAGGTGGAAATTATGAACAGTTGAAATCAAAAATCGTACATAATCTCTCCTCGTATACGTTATCACAGGTAGAAGAACGATTATTATGTAGAGGATATAATTTTTGTTATGAAAACAAAGTTATTAATTTCACGAATTTCAAACCGAGATTGAATTGAACAGGAGTAGAACTGAAGGTATATATCATCCTAGTAGTATTTTCTCAGCTCTATGTAAACACTTACACACTTACTCTCAACAACTTATTCGTAATGTGAAACGGAAACGGACGACTAATATTAGTGATGATGAGAAGGAGGTTATAAAATCATTGAAAAATAATACAAATATTGTAATTTGTCGTGCAGAAAAAGGAAATGCTATAGTAATTCTGGATAAAAATGACTATATTTCGAAAGCAGAATGTCTATTGAATGCTAAACAACTTAACTTTGAGTCCGGGATTATTTTGTCAAAAAATAATCCCTCAAAGTAGCGACACTCCTGTAACTCAAGAACTATAGTAGCTAGGGACTTCTAATTCTGTGGGGTCATAGCTCTTACCGAATGCTGGTCACCCACCAACTTTGGGACTCTTTTACTGGATATTTCATGAGATATAAGCAATTTATGTCTTTTCCGTAAAATATCAATAGCTCCTTACCTGAGAGAGATGCATTTTTTCTTTGTACAAAAATGCCGCACGACTCTGCTCTATCGACGATATGAATTTCGTGAGTTGGCTGTTAGGAGTTAGTGAAATACAGCTATTTTACTGGCGAGGTTGGCTTTTTTTTGTTGGAAATTCGAGGTTCTTTGCAAAAAAATTCACAATTCCG